TGGTATTCAGTACTCTTCTCCAGCACCACAGCTGAAAGGAATCAATTCTTCTGTCATCTTTATTCATTGTCTAGGTTTCAACAACATAGGAGGTGATTAATGATGTGAATTAGATGCATTCCTTAGTCCTTAAACTGACTTTATTGATCCTCAATAATTTGGAGAAGTCCCTGTCTGCAGACTTTCCCAGGCAATAAATCTCCTGATCTCCTGATTGCTAGTACAAAGGATGTTAATTATAGATCCAAGTTAGATGAAGTCTTTCACTGTTTGAATATTTTTTTTCCATCTGTCATGATGTTGCCTATTGGTCCATTGGTGGGAATATTTGTATGTTTTCTTGACATTGAAATGTATGCCATATTGAAGGCTGCAGTGTTTAACTTTCTGCAGCAAGTGCTTCAAGTTTACTTTGAGCAAGCAAGATTGTTATTGTTGTTGTTATAAGCCATTGAGTTGCTTGTGACTCATAATGACCCTATGTGCAATGGCCCTGAAACCTACTCTATCTTGTGCCAACCTTATTGTCTCTGACACACATACCCCCATTACCCCCGTTACTGAACCAAACCATCTTGTTAAGGGTTTTTTTTTTCTCTTGCACTGTCCCTCCATCCTTCCAAGCATGATGTTCCTCTCTAAGGAATGATTCCTACTTGCAGCATGACAAACTATGTCAGACAATTCCTCAGAATCCTTGCCTCCAAGAAGCAGCCTGGTTTCACCCTCTCTAGGGTGAACCTTTTTGTTCTGCTGGCAGTTCACTGTATTTTCTACACTCATCTCCAGCATCATAGCTAAAAAGCATCAATTCTCTTTCTGTCATCCCTAGTCATTGTCCAGCTTTCTGATGCATAGCAAGTAACTGTGAAAATGGCTTGGATCATGTTCACCCTAGTCTCCAGACTGATGTCATTACTCTTCAGTACTCTGGAGAGATCCCAGACAGCAAACTTTTATAATACAATTCGTCTTTTGATTTCCTGGCTTTTGGTACCAGAAGTGTTGATTGTGGAGCCAGACAAACTAAAGCTGTTAATAATCTCAATCTCTTCACCACCATCTATCTTGATGCTGCCAGCTGACCCAGTGGTGAGATTCTTTGTTTTCTTGATTTTGAGCTTCAGTCCATATTGAAGGTTGCAGTCCTTAATCTTTTCCAGCAGGCGCTTCAGGTTCTTCTCAGTTTCAGTAGACAGGGTTGTGCCATCCGCATAATGCAGGTTATTGATGAGTCGTCTTCCAATTCTGTTAAAGAATTGGCTCCTCATAGAGCCCAGACTCCCAGATGATCTTTTTTACATATTGATTGAAAAGGTATGGAAGTAGGACAAATCCAGAGTCACTGTAGCAAAAGGAATTGGCTGACCCAGGAGAATTTAATGAAACAATATATGAGCAAGAGCCTGTGGTAATGAAAGAAGTTCAAGCTGCTCTGAAATAATTGGCAAAACACAAGGCCCCAGGTATTGACAGCATATCAATTGACATATTTCAACAAACAGATGACACCCTGGATGCACTGACACTATTGTGCGAAGAAATCTGGAGGATAACCACTTGGCCAACTGACTGGAAGAGATCGCTATTTGTTCCCATTCCAAAGAAGGGTGACCAACAGAGTATGAAAATTATCGAATAATTCTATGTGCAAACAAGATTCTGCTGAAAATTACCCAAAAATGACTGGAACAGCACATCAACAGAGAACTGCCAAATGTTTAGGCTGGGTTACGAAGAGGTCATGGTATTACGGATATTATAGCTAATGTTAGGTAGATCTTGGCTGAAAGCAGAGTGTTAGAGGAATGTTTATGAGTATTTCATTGACTATGCAAAGGCGTTTGACTGTGTGGATAACAACAAACTGTGGCTGACTCTGAGAAGAATGGGAATCCCAGAACACTTGACCATGTTTATGTGAAACCTATACTTGGATCAGGAGGCAGTGGTCAGAACAGAGCAAGGAAACACTGCACCTTGAGAGGCAAGATTGTATCATCTACATAATTCAGTTTATTGATGAATCTTCTCCTAATCCTGATGCCACATTCTTGTTCATAGAGTCCAGCTTCTTGAATTATTTGCTCAGCATAGAGATTGAATATGTATGGAGAGAGGATACAACTATAACCTACACCTTTCTCAATTTTAAGCCATGTAATGATCCATTGCTCTGTTCACACAACAGACTCTTGGTCTGGGTATAAGTTTTGCTTGAGTATAGTTAAGCATTTTGGGATTCCCTTTTTTTAAAGTAGTGCATGAAAACTACTTGGAACAGATGAAGTATCCAGTAAAGAACAGGTAAAATTCTTACTGTTGTTCAACATAAATATTGTGTGTTTTTGAAATAGTGAATTCATTACCTTGAGTTACGGCTTGCTTGTGTGTTATTCCAGAGTGAGTGGAGGGAAGAATATAAGCCAAGGACAAAAGTAGGTGTAAAATTTATGTTTGTACTCTGTCTTTAGAAGCAGTGCCTTAATGGCCTTTCTTTCTTCATGCTGAAAGAAGAGACAACTAAAAATAGTATTTTAGTTTTCCATCTGCCCTAAGATGGAGAACATTATTTCTTTTCCTAATGTAAAATGTGACATAAAACCTTTAAAACCCTCCAAACGAAACCTATTATTGGCAGCTGATTCTACTGTGAACCTATAGAACTCATTAGAACTGCCTCATGGGGTTTCCAACTTTGTAATCTTTATAGAAACAGACTGCCAAGTATCCCTGCCCCCATTCCACCTTGGAGCAGTTGGTGGGTTTAAATTTCAGCCTTTTTGCTTGTAGGTGAGGGCTTTAACACCATACCGGTAAGATTCCTCAAAGATTGTGGCATACTGGTTTAAAAGCATGCTTGAATTGATGTCTCATTTTAGCTATGTGCATACTTGTTGTTATTATGTGCCATCAAGTTGCCTAGGACTTGTAGCAACCCTGTGTATAGCAGCTCTAGACCCTGCTCTATCCTGGGCCAACCTTATTATCTGTGACACACATACCCTCATTACCCCAGTCACTGAATTAATCCATTTCATCCAGGGTCCTTCTCACTTATGCTGCCCATCCAACCTCCCAAGGCTAATATCCCTCTCCAAGAATTGGTCCCTCCTTGCACTATGCCCAAAGTATGTCAGACGGAGCTTCAGAATTCTTGCCTCCAAGGAGCAGCCTTGTTTCACCCTCTCCAGAATGAACCTGTTCTCTTAGCAGTCCATAGTATGTTAAGTGCTCTTCTCCAGCACCACAGCTCAAAGGTGTCTCCTTTTTTTCATTTCTAGTTATTGTCCAGGTTTCTGATGCATAGCACATAATTGCAAAGACCATGGCCTGGATCAGGTGCACTGTAGTCTCAAGGCTGACATCATGGATACTTACCTTAACAATTAAAACAAATAAAAGAAAATTATGATTATTTTTATTTAGGGAGTTGCTTCATTCCTAACCCAAAATCCATCCCACTATAGTGGTTCAAGTTTACCAGTGTTTCCTTGGGAAAAGAAATCTAGACATCTTCTGGCAATTTGTAGTCTCAGAAGCCCACTGGAAGGTGAGCTATGATTCAGTGCAAAGAATATGTGTTTACACTGATGTCTTGTATGTCTTGGATATCTAGCGTTTCTTTAATAGAGATACCACATGTGAATGGCTTAAACATGTAAATTTATTCTCTTACAATTTAGGAAGCCAGAAGGTCAAATTCAAGGTAGCTCTAGGGGGAGGCTTTCTGTCTTTGCTTCCTAGTTCTGGAAGTTTTCAGTGCAAGGGAGCTCTGGAGGCCTAATGAGTATGGATCTAAGTTATGCCACTAAAGGTACATGATTCAAATCTACCAGCTGCTTGGAGGAGAAATGTGAGCAGTCTCTTAAGGAATGAATTTACAGCCTCTGAAAACTTGCTGGAGCATCAGTTATGAATTGGTTTCAAGTGAATGAGTGAGTTATCTCTTGCAAGATAAAAAGGTATAATGGACCACACATTACATAGTTCAGACTCTGATGGGACTTAGGGAATTGTATCCCTCCTTGGTCATGATGAGTCAAAAGCGAAAACGATTAGACAGCACCTAACAACTACAACATCCCTCCTGGAAGATATGTTCACTTTACATCATTATATTAATGCATTTCGGGGAGGAGACAATTCAACCTGTGATGTGTGTAACAGATTTAAGAAAGTTTCAGCATATTCCCTGTCTCCTAACTGGTTTTGTGTGGACATCTGTTTTGTTTTATTGGGGGAAGAGGTTATGAATCCTTTTATGCTTTGTAGTGTTAAGAATATTACCTGATGATTCTCTGAATAAGTTGTTGTTACATGCCCTCTACTCATAGGTTTTCAGAGGCAGTAAATCATATAGAAGAAGATTGTCAGTCTTTCTCCTGCAGAATATCTTGGGGATTCCAACTACGTGCTTGTGAGTTGGCAGTGTAACTATTTATCACTAAGCCACCACAGTGTGTATATAAGAGGTATAATATACAGGTTGTTGTTGTGTGCTGTCGAATAGATCTGGCCCATAGCTAACCCTCTAGCGGGTTTTCAGAGGTAATTAATCACACTAGAGAAAAGTTCATCCTCCAACAGAGAAGTTGATGGATTTGAACCAAGAGCCTTTGAAATTGCAGTGCAGCTTCTTACCACTAGGCCATCAGTTAGAGGATATAATTTATAATAAATTTTAATTGAAAGTAGAAGTGACTTCTTTTGATTAGAAGGAGATTTGGCTTTCAAGTTATTTGAGCAAATTTAGCTTGCTAAATGTTTAAATTTTGAGGAGAAGCTGCTTTTTTAAGAAAGCTGAATAAACTTAAGTCTCATTTACTGATTTTCCTGAGTGAGTTACAGGGTGATATAATTCCTACAAACTTTTCTGAACCACTTTATTATCAAACCATTTTGATATTTATTGCCTCTATTTTAAAGGAACTATTTTTTATAAGCAGGATTCTTTTGACAAGTACCTACTCAGAGCTTTAATTTTTCTCTCTCTACAGTTTGGAAGAACTGAAGTAATTGATAATACTTTAAATCCTGATTTCGTAAGAAAATTTATTTTGGACTACTTTTTTGAAGAAAGAGAGAATCTTCGTTTTGACTTGTAAGTTCTAATAAAATTTGCATTTTATAACATTTCAATATATATTTTAGAAATACGTTCAGTGTTCTGTTTGCACTAAATCCTAGAAAATACTTGTGTGGAACTAAATAAATTCTATTCAGAGTGTGGCCCAACTACAGTAATCAGCACTCCCATACATTTTGTAGTTTCTGTGCTGTTTGCTTGGTGAATAATTTAACCAACTTGAAATACTGGGGAGAAAAAAAGTATATATTTTCTGTCAAACCATCCCACAATTTAGTAGGTTTTTTAAAAGTCCTACATATAATTCAAGGTGTCTATTTAATTCCATGGTACACACCCCTCATATGTTTTCATTTCTTTGCACTAATTGTTAGCATGGTATCTCAGTATTTGTCTCGATGAGATACTCCCCTCCTTTATAAAATAAATATTTACACACACACACACACACAATTTGAGTTAAAATTTGTGGAGAAAATTGGTTTTCCATTCAGCAATTAATACATATTTTATTTCCTGAACTTGATTATACTTTTCTCGTCATTACAGCATGCTTCTCGGTTAAGCATTTCCATTTGTCTTTCTTTTCTAAACCTTACTGTTTCCTTAGTTTTATCCCTGGATAAATGTTACCACTTTGATCTTACGTAGTTAATTGTTCTCAGAAGTACACTCTTCCATGATGTTATTGATCACTTTATGTTGTTTTTATTAGGTGTTAGCAAATTAAGTATACAACTTATAGCAAATTTATGATCCATGTGAAATATGATGTTGTATGTATGTGGTGTTGTCTTTGTTCGTGATCGAGTTGGAACTGATCTATACCTGACATTCCAGTGGGTTTTCATTAGACATTTAATCACACAGGAGGAGATTCCCTATCCTTCTCCCACAGAGTATCTGGTAGAGAATTTTATATATATATGTGTCTGTATATATAAATACACACACACACACACACACACGCACACACGTTGTTGTTGTTATGTGCCATAGAGTCGCCTCTGACTCATAGCGACCCTATGTATAACAGCCCTAAACCCTGCTCTATCCTGCGGCAATCTGTCTCTGACACACCTACCCCGAATACCCCAGACACTGAATCAATCTACCTCATAGAAGGTCTTCCTCTTCTGCGCTGTCCCTCCACCTTCCCAAGCATGATGTCCCTCTCCAAGGACTGAGCCCACCTTGCAACATGGCCAAAGTATGTCAGATGAAGCTTCAGAATCCTTGCCTCCAAGAAGCACCCTGATTTTAAGCTCTCAAAGATGAACCTGTTTGTTTTCTTAGCAGTCCGTGGTATACTCAGAATTCTTCTCGAGCACCACAGCTCAAAGAATTTTCATACTATCATCCCTAGTCATTGTCCAGCCCTTTGATGCATATCAAGCAATTGCAAAGACTGTGACCTGTATCTGGCAAAGCTTAGTCTCCATCCTGACATAGTTGCTCTTCAGTACTGTGGAGAGGTCTCTGACAGCAGACTTTCCCAGTGCAATTAAACCTTTTAATTTTCTGGCTGCTGGTGCCAAGAGTGCTGATTGTGGAGCCAAGCAAACCAAAGCTGTTAACAGTCTCAATCTCTTCATCTACCATGATGCTGCCACTTGGCCCAGTGGTGAGAATCTTTGTTTTCTTGATATTGAGCTTCAATGCATATTGAAGACTGCAGTCCTTGACCTTCTGCAACAAGCAGGTTTCAGGTCCTCCTCAGGTTCAACAAGCAGGGTTGTGTCATCTGCGTAATACGGATTTTTGATGAATCTTTCTCCAATCCTTATGCATAGAAATATATATTAAAACATCTATAACTCTATCTATCATCTATCTATCTATCTATCTATCTATCTATCTATCTATCTATCTATCTCTAATATCCATCCACTCCAGCAAAGGCCTCAGCTTGGTCCAAGAAAGAGTGTCCTGCACCATGTTATTTGTATTTCTGATTGTCTTTACAGTTTGTTGTTAGAAGTATAATAACTTTCAGTTTGTTATGTTGAGACTTGTTTTGCATGATGCTTATTACTTTATTCAGGAGTGTTTGTGAAAGAGAGGAAGACCCCCAACCAGGTGGGTTGATATGGTGACTGCTGCAGAGGGCTCTAGTGTGTCAAGAAGTGTGAAGATGGCACAGGATAGAACAAGGTTTAGATCTTTTGTTCATAGGGTTGCTTTGAGCTGTACTCCACTTGATGGCACCTCTCTACACCAACAAAAACCAACTGTTGCAATTGGAAATTGATTACATGCAACCAAGATACATTAGTCATATTTGGTGACTGGAAAGCAAAAGTTGAGAATAAAGAAGAAATATCAGTAGTTGGGAACATGAACTTGGTGAAAGAAATGAGACTGGAGGCAGAATGATAGAATTCTATACGGTCGATGATTTATTCATTGCAAATACTTTTAATAATAAAGACAAACATTGACAATACATGTGAACCTCATCTGACAGCCTACACATGACTCAGATTGATTACATATGTGTGAAAAGTCATTGTAAAAGCTCAATAGCAGCTGTGAAAAGTAGGCCAGTTAATGATTGTGAGTCAGATTATCAACTATTTGTATGCAAGTTCAAATTGAAGCTAAAGTTAATAAAATCAAATCCATTAGAATCTTGAGTCTATCCCTCCTGAGTTTAAAGACTATCTCAGGAACAGGTTTGAAGCTTTGAATACTAATGAGCAAAAACCAGATTAGCTGTGGGAGGATATTAAGAATATCTTCCATGAAGAATGCAAAAGGACGTTACAAAGATGGAAGGGGGGGAGGGGGAAGACCAAAATGATGTCAGAGGAGACCCTGAATATTGCACCAGAGTGCCAGAAAGCCAGAAGAAAGGGAAGAAATTAAGATATTAAGGAGCTGAATAGAAGATTTCAAATGGAAGCTTGTGAAGACAAAGCAAAGTATTAAAATGAAATGAGATCAACATACAAAAATCAGTTGGATTTCTCTACAGTGACAAAAAGAATACAGAGCCAGAACTAAGAGAAACAATACCTTTCACAATAGCTAATC